ATCTGATCTCTGGTATCCTAGACTGAGAATCCCTGCCATCTCTGTACCTCTGACTTCTACTGTCTGCTTCCTCAGGTCCGTAAGATTCTCAGCATCAGCAGGGTCAAGAAAATGCCACCAGAAAGAAATCTTTGACCTCTTGTGTGATCATTGGTGTGCAACTGAAGGCTTGTGTATTTGCACATGAGTTTTGTTTGTGTATTTTTGTGTAAGTGCTATTTCTGAGATCACTTTGCCTTTATCTTCTAGTTTTCCAATGTTGTGTTCTGAAAACCAGTTGTTTTATCGTGTTTTATCATGGAATTCTTTCTCTCTTTGCTTCCAGGTGCAATTTCCTGAGCTGCTTTCTTCTGCATACCCTGATGTCATGATGTTCTTTTACACTTCTAGCCCAGAACAATTGAGTTGGCTATCTAGGGACTGAGACTTCAGAAACCATGAGACCCAGATAAATTTTCTTCCTCTACAATTGTTCTTTTCAGATCTTTTGCTCACGATATCAAAAAAGCTGATTAAAACCTATACTAATAATGATGATCACACAAGTTGATAAATATACTAACATCTTGAATATACTCTTTGATCAGGTGCACTTTATGGAATATACATTATGTGATAGTAAAGCTGTTTAAAAAAAACACAAATGTGATTAACAATAACTGACTCTTTTTATTTGTTTGTTTGTTGTTACCAGGGATTGAGCCCAGAGGTGCTTAAACATTGAGCCCTTGTTTATTTATTTATTTATTTATTTTTATTTTGAGACAAAACCTTACGAAGATGCTTAGGGCCTTGCTAAGCTGTTAAGAATAGCTTGAAACTAGCAGCTAATTCTTCTGCCTCAGTCTTCTGAACTGCTGGGAATACAGTCATGAGCCACCATACCTGGCCCATTGTGGTGAGCCGTTTCTGTGAACTGTGGCCGCCATTACAAGATGGCGCTGATAAGCGCCGTGGCCTGTGATAAACAACTCCTTGTTTTGGGAGAGTTGGCACGTAGCTGTAAAACACCCTATGAGAAAGATCCACGTGGCAGTTGTGCATTGGGGCTTGATGTGCTTTATCAAGGTTGGGGCGCTCAGGTGAAGGGGTAGAGGTAGTAGTAGAAGTAGAAGTAGAAGTAGAAGTAGGAGTAGTAGTAGTAGTAGTAGTAGTAGTAGTAGTAGTAGTAGTAATAAGAGAAGCTTCCAGAGACACATAAGTAAAGGCCTGAATAAACTGCTGAAAGAAGATTCCCGAGTTGCGTCTTCCTTGCGGGCAAGGGGTCGCGACAGCCCATGATGGACTGTTTCAGGTGGGCTTATGCTATGAGAGTTAGACCTTGCATGTGCAGTGTTTTCATAGGATGGTCAGCCTCTCCTGAGGGCAAGGGCAAGTTTTTGTCTCAGTTCCCCATGCATCTGAAGTACTGTGTGAGCATTGAGGCTTTTGTCCCATGTTGAACAGTAGTAATCAGCCTCGTCCTCCTCTTGGAGCCCAGTGATGGTCAGGGTGGCTGTGTTGCCAGAACGGGAGCCAGAGAAGCGATCAGGGATTCCTGAAGGCCTACTAGTTCCAAGCATCACAGTTTTGGGGGCAGAACCTAGAATCTGTTGATACCAGCCTGCATAATAAGCTCCAACATTGTTGCTATTTCCAACACAGGAGAGACTGACCTTCTCCCCTTTAGATGCTGACAGCGAAGATTCTTGAATCAACTTAGACTGTGCCTGGGACCCTAGAACAGAGAAAGTAGTTACATAGAGAGATGAGCCTGGGGTTACTACCTGTACTATGGTTACCCCCTAAAAAGAAAAGATGGACCCAAGTTGTCCCACCATCCCTTTTGCTTTCCATAGTGAGTCACCTGAACAGAGAGTGAGGAGGGTGAGAAGGAGATGGACCCAGACCATGGTGGAGATGCTCCAGGTTCTGCTTCCCCCACACACAGCTGAGCAGAACTGCCCACAGTCTCTTATTTTGTCACTCATGTGAGGACAGAAATAAAAACTTTTATGCAAATCATTACCCTCCCCCTGATACTTCTTAGCCTGAGTGTGGTCTAAGCAGAGTATAGAGTGGTGCCTCTCCTGATATCCCAGAGGACAGAGCTGCTGGGGCCATAGACCACAGAGCAAAGGGCACAGTACAGAACATAAGGGCCTAGCTTTCCAGCTGAGAACTCCCACAGGCCATCAGGTGCCAGGGTTTATTCACCCGGGGTGAATGTTCTGGAGTTCCCAGAGATATCCTGGAAACCAGCATTGCCCTGCCTTATTAGTACCCACAGAGGAGTAGAGTGTTATATCACCTAGGTGCTCCTTATTATGCTGCTGGGTGCTCATTACATTTCAAAGTCCTGGCTTCCTCAGAAGACATCTAAGAAGAATGACATCAAACTGTGCTTTGACTGTTCAGATTATTGTGTGATTGGAGGGATAGGTGAGTGAACCTCAGAAGGAACATATCTTGCTCTCATGTAAAACAGTAGGGGCCATTAAGAACCCCTCCATGACTTCTGCATGAGCCAAATGGAATCTGTTGTCTCCCTCTCTCATCACATACCTCCCCCCACTATGGCAGGCCAGTCTCCTTAGCCCATTTCACTGTACCATAGTCTTCCTAGATGGACTGTGTTCATGAATAAAAACACAAAGAAGGCTCCTCAAGAAAATTCCTTTCTTATTATAGACAGAAAGTCCTGCTGATCCTATTCTCTTCCACCTGGGGAGGTGATGGAAGGCAAACTCTTACCAGGAGGCATCCCATAGCCAGAGCCTCAGGGTGGAATCCAGGGCCCATGGTCATAGCCAGAGCCTCAGGGTAGAAACCAGGGCCTGTGGTCTCCCTCATCAGATGGGTCATGCCCATCAGGGTGGAGTAACACTTGCAGAAGTGCAGAAGGGCTGGTGTTGTAAAGAAAGAGAGAATGATTTCCCAGAATTTTCCCGGTCTGTCTGAGCTCTGTCAGAGTGTCATATTATTTTTGACTAGTCATCAGATCTTCTGTAGCTTTTACTGTGTGTCTGATGGTTTTCAACTCACATTAAAGATACTAATATCATTATGTCTCTAGTGGCCTAATCCACAGCTGATTGTGTATAAAAATTATATGAATAAACATACATATGCATATCTGTACATCTATACCTATGTATGTATACATGAATATATGATTTTCATTTAGAATTAGTCACCAAAATCATTAGCACAGTATCTTATGGTGAGTCTGATAAACCCAGAGATGCCTGTGGCCTTGAATTTTTCCATCATTGAAACCCCAATTCTCTGGAGAATCAGCCTCCTCAATGGGCTAAGACAGTAGGGGAGGAGCAGAAGGCAGTCAAGGCTAATTCAGGATGGGTCAACCTGAGACTCTGGAGTCCCCTCTGAGTGTTTTGTTTTACTGTATTTTTTGATGTCAGGATAAAAACCACACTGTACCAGGGCATGGAAAGTTAGACAGTGAAAGTGTTCCTGATGAGCCATTTCCATAAATCCTTCAGCATATCACATGTGTAGAGAAAGGGTCAGGAGTTGAAGACAGACCAGGACAGAGTGTCCCCTGAGTCAACTTCCTGAAATTCCAGAGTATGGACATAGCTACAGCATCTCTGATTCTCTCTCAACTCTTGTTGAAAGTGATTCTTATGTGAGTATGTCAATAATTCCTGAGTGTCTCCAGCTACATTGAAGTACCAGTATGAGCAGCAGATATTTTAAGGTACAGAGAGTAGAGATTTTTGTAGAGCCTGACTGAGTGGGGTGAAAGACTGATGCTGCAGGTCACTGTGCTCAATGAGAGATCACAGCCACAGTCACAATGCATCATGGAGGAGATTCTGTTAGTTCAGCATCCATGATTCCACATGTGATAGCCGGTAACAACATAATCACTGCTCAGGGTGCAGGAGAATCTGACAGTTGCTCCAGAAGTTGCAGAGATGGAGGGCAGCTGATTCAGCACAGGCTGGGAGAGAGAATCTGTGAACACAGAGAGTCATGGGTAAGCAGTCAAGGACAAAGTTAGAGCTGCTGATAAAGTCTAGCTAGAGGACAGGTTTAGGCCAAGGACCTGGTACTAGATATGTGAGGATTGTCCCTACCTAAGAAGTGACACAACAGTAGGAGAAGAAGGGGGGTCCTGGCCATGGTGAATACAACCCTTCTGGAGTCCAGACCTGGTGTGGACTGCTCTAGGCCTCTCTTATCCCTTCCCTGCTGACTTAGAGAAGGTGACAATTATGCAAATATGTTTCCACCTACAGCCTCTTTATGTACCACTTATTCAGTGTTTGTAGACATGGAGGTGTAGCAGCTAGCATCTCCAGAGGGGGTGATGGAACAACATAGAACACAAATTCGGATTCCACCCTGAGTGACACCAGTCTACTTTTCTCTGTCACCTTCACCTGAATTTGGAATCTTTGGGGATTTCTCCATCTTTGAACACACTGTATGTTTCCATACAAACCATTTTCTGCCCCTTCTCTGTCTTATTTTTCTTTTTCATGCATGTTTCTATTAAGACTCCATTCAGGGGCTGAGGCTGTAGTTTAGTGATAGAGCACCTACCTTGCATGTGTGAGGCACTGGTCCTCAACATCACATAAAAATGAATAAATAAAGATATTGTATAAACAAACAAAGACTCCATGCCTATTGACAGTGTTTTTGTGTTCAGCACTGGGCTCAGCTCCCTATCACTAATGGAAATAGTATCTCTGTTCTTGAGGGGTTTGCTGTTTCAAATGAAAAGCCCACAAGGAATGAATAAGACAGTGAATGTATAATTTTCCATAAAAGAGAAGGGCAGTCATAGACATGTCACTACCATGGACATTTAAAAGAAAATTCTTAGAGAATGAACTTTTGTTCACATGCTATTAAAATATTCATTTTGTTAAGAGAAAATAGATGGTGTAGGAGGCTCAGTTATTTTGAACTGTTACAAAAATATGCTGTATTATGTGGATTATTAAAAAGAGAATTACACATCTCACAATCTGGAACCTGGGAAACCCAAGGTTGGCAGACTCTGTGTCATGCAAGGGCCTACTCTATAGATAGCCATCTACAGAAGGTATGGAGGATCTCTGCAGAGCTTCTTTCATAAGGTCTCTAATCCATGCACTCCTCACCTGATCACTCCCTATGGCTTCTTGTCTGAATGCCTTCATTTTGGAAATTAGGATTCCATTCTATGAATTTTAGGGAGACATACACATTAGTACACTTAGGTAGAAGTAAAGCCATGACCAACAGATATAAGAAAATGAGGACACAAAGTCCTGGCCAGGCTGGCCAAGGAATGACACCAGGACTTCCTGGGTCAGGCCAGGCTGTGTTCAGAACCCCAATGAAGAAAAGAAAAAAAAAAGACATAGGCAGAGTAATTGTGAGGTCCCATCTGCAAACAAGTCACCAAGAAAAAGGGAGTCCTCTAACTCCTTATGTGATCAGGTT